TATATATATATATATATATATATATATATATATATATATATATATATATATATATATATATATCAATATGCTGAAAGGCATATCACTCCCCTATTCTTTATCTGTCATGCAATCTAGGGTGTGTCTGTCATGCTAGTTCTGGCTTGCACAAGCCAAGAACTGAAGACATAACTTTCACTTAGTTGATATGCCACATGCTACTAAATACTGCACCCGTCTCACAATACCTCCAAACAATGATTGAATAAAGGATCTTCACACAGTGGAAGTTATCAGATGATGAGTGCACCAATGCCTGAACTCAGATATAGATCAGTTCATATATCCTTATCAAAAGGACACATACCCCAACCATAAAAGAGTGTGGGTAAGGGAATCTGAGCTTTCTTTCCACAGTCAAGGGATATGGCACGGTCATTGGGCATGCTCACCCACTAGCACCACCTGCTGAGACAGTACGGCATTACAGGTACTAACTGCCTCAATTTCACTTTTCAGGAAGCCAATAACTCCTCTTCAGGCCCTCTTGACATTTGACTCAATAATACCATCCTTGGGATTGGTTTATTATAAAACTCATTCATAACAAAGTCCAAAACAAACAAAAGGAGTGTCTGGCTTTCAGAGTTCCTCTAAAAGCTGATCTCTGTCTTCCCAGTTTCTATATATCTTCTTACAGCAGGAGCCCCAGCCTGCCTCCTGGATCTAGGTAATTCAAGCAATTCGTATATTTACCAGGCATCCTCCTGGAGCTAGGCTGCAATTGAAAGGCCATAGTCAGCTTCTCCCTCAGCTGGCCCCACTTGATATTTGCCTGCTGTAAGGGAGGAGGCAGCTCTTATGCTGGTCCTCTTCTCCCAGCTCATCCCCCATTGGTTGGGTGAGAGGGGAGCATTGCCCTTCCCACTCTGGAAGGCTCCTGGCTGCAGGCCCTTAAAACAAAAACAAAAAAACAGAATTTCCTTCCAAGCCCTGCTTACTCCCACAACTGCTTCCTCTCTCCCCAAATCACCCAGATCCTTATGTCTTTAATCAGACCTTTCAGCTCTTAAGAATCCATGCCAGGTGACAGGTGGACTGACCATTAGGTACTACTGGCCATAAGGAGCAGACCACTCTGTCAGAAACCCCCTAATAAGTCCTTACATAAGTACAAAAGAATGGTGGGCACAGTAGCTAGCTACCCTCTGCTGGAGCACAAGCTAACTTATAAGGGGGTAGAGAGTAGATGTGGCCATGCTCTTGAGTTCTTCTCACCACACACACACTCCAGCCAGCAGAGCTGCATGGTGAGGGAGCATGCCTGTGTCCTGAGAATAAGCATTGCTCACTGTCAGTGCCTGCTGGGTCATAAGCCACCCCACAAGAATCAGGAAGGAGATGGTGCATGCACTCCCTCGGCTGGCTGGCACAGAGAGAAGGGCTGATTCTTGGAAGGGCAGGCCCAGTACCGGTGCTCTCCATGAGCTCTGGAAGGCATTGTGCTCTCCAGGAGCTCTGGAAGGCATTGTGCATTTCTGGGACAGGGCTCCTCAGAGCTCCCATGGTGGCAATGAGATATGATACTGACCCCGTACTCAAGACTATTCTAGGACACGCTGTCCGTACGTGGCGTATTGTGTTCCCCTTTTGATACCCATATTCTTGAACCAAGATTTACTTTTACGTGTATGACTGAGATCTCTATCAAAATACTACGTATAAATGCCATTTCTCTCTCTCTCGATTCAGCAGTGAGCTGAATGGGTGGGGCTCTGCTAATGAGAACTTCTGAGGCAGTGGCAGCAATGCAAGCTTTTCTATTTCCACTGGGTGATTTGGTTCAGCAAGTAACAGATTCCATGTTCCAAGGAGAATAATCAGCAGGCTTTTGGGTGTGGTTCCTTTGTCTAAGTTCTGATTAATGCCAACAGCTGCAGGAGCAAGGAGTGTGCTATATCCTTTGAAAATGATCATGTTAACAGCAGTTTTCTTAGAAAAACTGGGAACACCTGAACAGTAGGAATTAAGTGATGACTGTTCACACAGCAGAAATACTGGGGAATTCACAATGAGAAGCTAGGCCAAGGGGGCAAAGAAAGTGGCAGTTATAGAAAATGCTTCAATGCACCAAGTACTAATAGTAAGCATTGCTATGAGCTTTTCTCAAAGGGATTTGGGTTCTAGGGAATTCATATAGTTTTTGCAGACTCCCTGCTATTACTAACCTCATAAGGAGCAGTAAGACTAAAAGCTGCTATGATGTAGTATATTAATTGGGGGGTGGGGGGGAGAGACTGAAGGTAGAGATGAATGATCACTTTTTTAAAAGAGGGAAAATGGACTGTATTGGTCCTTGAAAGTGTTGACCTGGCAGTCCTGGAGACTAAAACCCACTCTTTCCACAGATAACTTGTTTAGAGGCAGCAGTACAAGCTTTCCCACATCAATCCTGGGGTTAGGTCCTGCACGCAGTGAAGTCAATGGCAAAACTCCTATTGATTTCATTAGGACCAGGATTTCACCCCTGATCTGCAAGAAGCACCCTTAAAGGGCAAGGCTGTAGCTGCTCTCCATGCTTAATCAATCCTTGGCTTCTCTATAAGCCATGGCTGTTGTGCCGGACAGTGAAATTAGTCAGGAAGGGAAATTTTGCAAGTTCAAAACAGAAAGGAACACTTTCATTTTTTATTTATTTAATTCACTTCCACCCCTTACTATTTTTCCTATTTATTAACTGGTTATTTTCAATTCATTGTAATATAAATCTTTGACAGGGCTGGCTTCCGCTGCCATTGAAAAGCAGTTGCAAAACTCATTATCATTTCAATGATGCCATCTCAGTCCCTTGATTTAGGGCCTGATTCTCAGAGATGCTTAGTGACCTCAACTAACCCAGCTTCAGTAAGAGTGTTTGCATTGGGCTACAGAATTTGGTTATGATGTAACATTGGGCTATTAAAGACACCAGGTGCCTCCCTACAAGTTTCTACAGCTCTACTAATATACAGCAATTTGAATGACAGCAGTCTGCAAGATAACTTATTTGCACAGATAAATGAGTGTGGTAAAATACAGTCTTTGGTCTGTAATGAGCCATATGGCGATCAAGTTAAAAGGTGGGGTAAGATTACAAATTTAAAGAGACTGTCAAATGACTCACATATGGAGATATATAGAGACAGCTATTATTTTAATGTAAAAAATTTTGTGACTGCATTCAGAGAAATGAACAAGCAATAGGTAGACATAATGCTATTAGGCTGCATAAATAGATCACACAAGGCTAAGTAAAGCTGCTGAATGCCAAATGGATATGCCACTAGTACAGATGAACTCTACCCACACACCTCTATTTCTGAAAATATACCAGATACAATACAGTTAATAGTCTCAGGGAAAATAATTGCTTTCTTTCTAACTACAAGCACCCTTGGCTCGCTGTTCACCTTGTACTATTAATGAGGTAGGGCTCCACAGGAGTCCTTACCTCATTCTGTGCATTTCCTTGTAAAGTACAAAGTGAACAAGGCAGAATTCCTCAGGAGACCTTAAAATCTCCTTCAGTGACACAAAGTCTCTAAAGCTTATACACCATGCACAAGACTGGGACTCCCTCCTACAGATGATACAAGATGCATGAAATAGGGAAAAAAAACAGGTAGAAACCACAGTTGAGTTATCATTTTACTCAAAAAATAATACCACCTTGTACATTCTGTTAAAGTTATATTAAAAGAACTTTAAGGTCACACAGTTAAGCATTAAAAAAAAAAAAAAAACCCAACACTCAGGAAATGCCACAGTTAAGGTTGCACATGCCAATGTGACTCTGCCCCTTTGTACATATGCATTACTCTCCAATAATGGGCATAATCACACACTATTTCTCAATTAATACAATATGGTACAGTTTTTCCTTTCAGGTGTCTAAGGTTTAATTTACACATTTTTTATATAAATGACTTTCAAGGAATGTTTAATACAAAATTATATGTACACATCTACTTTTGTTAAAAAAAGTCTATTGGAAAAATTATTGTAATTCATATAATCAAGGTTGCATATATGATCTTAAGTGTTATTTCCTGACTTCTGAGCGCTTAATCATGCAATGGCTTTTTAATACTGTTTTTTTTAATGGAATACACATATAAAAGTGTTTATGTTATATCCTTTACACAAAAATCATCATTAAGGGCTGGTCTATAATTAAAAGTTTTACTGGCATAGCCGTGTCAGTTAGGGATGTGATTTTTTTTAAACCAGTTATGCCAGTAAAAACCCAGTTATACCAGAATAAAGATCCATGCCAGTGTAGTTTAATTTGGTTCCCAAAATGGAATACATTATTCTGGCATAACTGCATCCACACTAGGGGGATTTTGCCAGCATTGTTAAAGCAGCAGAACTTTTAAGTGAGGACAAGACCAAACTTTGTGTTAAAATTGCTAGACAGCATAGTCCAGCAATACAAATGAAACAAGCCAGGGAAAAGAAACAGTTAAGCCACTCACTGCCCCATCAACATTTCACTGATCACCTTCCTTTCACCACCCACACATACCCACCCAGTCACAGGACCACTGATGCACCTGTGAACTCAAACCATGTTTTTTGTTAATGAGGATATGCTTTGATTAATACTGTATAAAGCTATGTGGCTTTCGTAAGTTATATTTTGCATAGTTTGTGTGTGTGTGTGTGTGTGTGTGTGTGTGTGTGTGTGTGTGTGTGTGTGTGTGTGTGTGTGTGTGAGAGAGAGAGAGAGAGAGAGAGAGAGAGAGAGAGAGAGAGAGAGGGGTCAGATTGTAAATGGTGGTTACCATTTATGTTTTGCTGTAACGTTGAGGAATTGTATGCATTGTTGATGTATGCTGTCACACTTGTACAAAAAATGTAATCAGATTTTAAGCAATTACAAATTGAAATCAGCATACGTGAGTGCAGGTGTGTGTTGTATTTATGGTGAGATTTAAGAATACAACACACAGTTTACTACAACAGATATCCTTTCTCTTCCACCTCGTCCTGTCCCTGCCCCCTCTAGCGCAAGGCATGCTTTTTTTCCTCATGTTTCCTCCACACAACTCTACTTGCCTCTTTCCTTCTGACTCACCCCCTGTGCCCTCTCAATGCACCTAGACCACTTTGACACCACCACCTCTTCCACAAATGGTGCAGGGTGCACCTGGAGAACCAAGTATGGAGTGCAGAGGGAGAAGGTGGGAAGGGGGTGAATGGGAACGAGAAGGCGACATGGAGGAGAAAGAGGTTGGGGGGGAGAGGGGGATTGGAACCCAAGGGAATGCCAGGGCTTGGAGAGAGAGAGAGAGAATTGACTCTGTACCATGCCTTTGACACTTTAATGCCCTTACACAGTGCTGCTGCCTCATCCCTTGGGAAGCAGAAGGAACAGTGGGAATGTCTCCTCACACAGACCCTGGGCACCCCAATCAACCCCCACCCCCATACACATACTTCAAGTTACTGCTGCATCCCCATTCAACTTCTCTCATCTTCCCAAAACTCTGCTGATATTGGAAAGTCTTCAGTGGCTTGGTCCTCCAGTCAAGTCACCAAGTCTAAATGAACCCCTTCTGGGGTACTAAAGAATGCAGTAACTAAATAGTCTATTTGCCCTCACTAGGTCTTCAGCCCTGAGTCCTTAAAATTCAGCCCTTTTTTGGGCTCCTAGATAAGGCTTGTCCTTTTGGGGTTTATGGCACTTTACCTGTGGCTGGTGGGGGAACCCAGACCTGACCACTACTCTGGGTTCCAACCCATGCACCCTATACACAGTAGCCATGTAGTGCTTACTCCAATCCATCACTGCTATTTCCCTGGACCTCTTCCTACTGGAGCCCTTATCTCCAGCCCTCCGGTTCTGCTCTAGCTCCAAGGCAGCAAGAAGCAACCTTCTTCACTCAAGTCCCAGCCAGAAACTGACCAGCTAAAGCCCAGCAACTCCTTTTATCTGAGCCTGCTGGCCTCTGATTGGCTGTTGCTACCCCTTGGAGGACCAGGCCTCTCTAATGCACGAGATGACTGCTCTCGTAAAGCCATTGTAGGAAGCCCTGAAGGACAGAGCTTTGGTGCTCTTTTCCTCCTGCCTTACTGCTTCCTGGGACAGGGTGTAGTAGAGCAACTTGTCCTCCAGCAATGAGCCACAAAGGCCTGGCATACCCCATCCTAGGGTCCAATCCAGCAGAACATATTCACAGTCTAAGGAGTTAATCAAAGGGTTCAACCTTATCAATACTCTCCCCCCCCCCCCGCATTTTTCTTTTGAAACAAACTTGTTGAAATTGAAACATTTCTGCAAAACATTTCACTTTTGATGAATTAGCATTTTCCAGTGAGAAAATATAGCATCAGATTTCTAATCATCTCCACATAAGATCACATGTAAACATGTTTCCTCATCTTTTCGAAGATTCACAACTGTCCATTTTCTGTCTGTCCATTTTTTCCTTCTGCCTCTTCTCTACAGGGGCTGCACATCACTTGGATACCTGAAATATTTATTGTGGCAAAGGATTTAGTAAGATTTTAACAGGCTGCCAGTCTTTGCTTGAAACACCCAACCCAGCCAACCCTTATTTTGTTAAGTGAGCTTTGCTTATTCACTGAAGCCAATTACTTATTGCCCCATCTGGATATGAAAAAGGTTGGAGGGACTGTCTAGACAGGAATTAATATGCGAGTTGAGCAGTCCTGAGGTAGGACCCCTAGTACCACCGAAGCCCCGAGAGAAGGCTTGAGCTGAACTTTGTTTCATTACTGCCAATTTGTGTTAATAAAACCAACCTCCAGGAAGGGGATGAGTCTGAGCTGTACAGAGTGTGTAGATGGTGTCTGAGAGCAAGGATGAGAAATGCACCTGCTTGCAGACATTTTTATGGATAATCAGAATATCAGCAGCAGTTTTACTAGATTAGATTAAAAAAACAAACATGCTGCCTCTTGATATAAGTCAACTAAATGCATAAAGTAGCTTAAGCTTCCCCTTAGCCATGTTATTTCATAAATTGCCTATTACGGGGTTTTTATACTTTCCTTTGAAGTTTCTAGCACAGTTATATCAGTGACAATTAAGTCTGGCAATTCTTACATTATTCTAGTATGGAAAAGGAGAACAATAAATGGATAGTATCAGAGGGGTAGCCGTGTTAGTCTGAATCTGTAAAAAGCAACAGAGGGTCCTGTGGCACCTTTAAGACTAACAGAAGTATTGGAAGCATAAGCTTTCGTGGGTAAGAACCTCACTTCTTCAGAACCTCACTTCTTCTGAAGAAGAAGTGAGTTTCTTACCCACGAAAGCTTATGCTTCCAATACTTCTGTTAGTCTTAAAAGTGCCACAGGACCCTCTGTTGCTTAATAAATGGATAGACCATAGGGCTGGAGAAATTTTTCCCTAGCAGCCTTAAGGCTTGAAATCAGGGAATATTAAATATCTCACTGTAGTTGCACATTAGCATTCAGCTGTTATGGTAAATGAGGGCCATATAAGCCCAGAGATAAGATGAAGCCAGAGGATGAGGTAGAATGTAACATTGTGCTAATAGGGCATTCTCTCAACTCCATACCTATTGTTCTGAGGGCTCGCTTAGTTACTGGAGACCATACTTCCCCTCCTTCTCATAAATATTGTTTGGCTTTTAAAGAAAAAAAAAATTGACCTGCCTGCTCCCAGTTCTTTTCTTCCTGGCTGACCCCTTGAAAGGATCTATAAGGTTCTGATGATTTTGATCTGGAGCCTTTTAAAGAAGTCTTCCTTGGATGATTGATCAGCCAGCCAAGGGAAGGCAGAGGCAGTTATTACCTAAGGAAGTATGGCAGGACTGTTATCTAGGGGCTTCCTTATATGTATCTGGTGTGTGTGTGTGTGTGTGTGTTAGTGTTATGTCGAGACAGGGATGACATTGTCACATCCCCTCCCCATACAGACCTCTAACTGTCCCCCTTCAACCAGCCCCTGCAAAGCCTGATCCCAAAATGGTCGTCCAGCAAGACACATTTCTCAAAATTTAACTTCACTGATTTCTGAAGAACCACATTTTTTGCTGACCACATTCTGTAGATACTTTGGAAAGTAAAAATCATTGTGTTACTGTGTCTGTCCACTTCTTGGCCACCTGTCAGGCAGCAAATGTCCTGGAGGCCAGATGTGGGGGAGGGAGGGTTGAGGCCCAGTCCTGCTGGGGGAAGAGAATACAATGCAGCATACCTTCAATGTGAGTTAAAGGGAAAGTTTTGCATTGCTATGCCATGTCCTAGAACACTTAGTAAAATTTCAGGATCTTTCCCCTTCATTTTAAGGCCAACTGTCAGGCACGCAGGCAGGGAGGCACTGTGGGGCCTATTCCCAGTTCAGATCGCCTTTTGGGTGAAAGTTCTCCATCTTAGCTCAGAATTATGTTGATTCCCAGTCTACTTTTCTCACAATCCTGGAATCTAGCAACATTTTTCATTCTGCATGAACTCCAGCTGGTTCTGGGGGTTCACCAAGAGCGCAACACTGTTTCAGCAACCTTCATAGTTCATCCAACATTTCCATTCAGTAATATGATGTGGGGTGACCATTCTCATGAACATCTCCCTGGCATAGATTGAGGAATCCCCACCACAGGACTGAAAAGCCATTCTCTTTCCATTCAGGTACCTGAAATTCCACTACGTCCTCCAAAGGAAGACCAGCTTTAAAGGATGAAAAAACTACATCTGGTCACATATCCCCATGAAGGAATTAACTCTCATTCCTTCTCTCTCTCTCTCTCTCTCTCTCACACACACACACACACACACACACACCTACCTATGTGTGCCTAATGCCAGAGTGAATACTTTAATTTGTTAAAAATATAAAGTGTTTGCCTCACCATTATTTGCCTCCAGTCCTTCCTCAGAAGTAGCAATAGCTTTCTGAGAACCAGGGCACAAAATGTGGAAACAGTTATGTTCCTTATATGTTTAAGTGTATCAAAACTGTGGCCTTCTAAAGCAAAATTGTGGCCTTTACATTGTGGGGAAGTGGAAATTGTGTAGTTTTCCCCAGGTCCAAAATACAATGCTTTCTCTCTCTCATTGAATTGGCAGGACCTTTGGCTCCTGTGACTGAAACCATCCTAACAAGAGGTCAGGATCAGCACTCCTGAAAGAGCGAGGAAAACTTAGAAGGGCAATGGAGGACTTATGTGCTGTGATGGAGCGGAGAAATCAGGAGCAGTCTGAGTTCCTGAGAGGAAAATAGGAGTGGGCTCTGCAGCAGGAAGAGAGGCTTTTGGACCGGTTCCTGGAGGAGAAATGGCATCAAGAATGGGAACACACCCTTATGGAATGGCTAATTGGATTAATGTCTGACAAAGTGTAGTGTCTGCCTGCTGCTGAGGCCTCAGGACAAACTCATCTGTCACCTCCTCCATCAGCAGACCAGAGTGCCGCTATGCCAAACAACACTCCTGCTGGGCAGGAGGGCAACACTGGGCCAGCTGAGGTGCAAGGACGCCAACAATAACCAGCCCCCATAGCTCCTTTTTGAAGAAACCCCAGTGTGGCTCCAAGAGCTATCCTGCCTAACCATTCCCCACAGCTGAGTAGGAGTAGTAGGAGAAATGTTCAAAGAAATTAAACTTTGGGAACAATTCTCAGATGCTATTTTTGTGTTTTGAGAACAATTGTGATAATTGGGCCTATAAATTTACCTTATTTGTGAGCTCAACTGCAGAAAGTGTGTGAAAGTTCATAAAATGTCACAATAACCTATAACAACAAATGTTGATGGGAAAATGTATGAAGGGGAGACAAAGACATAGCCTACTGCTATGACTCAAGGATTGTGTTAAGGTCATGCCTGGTAAACAAGAAAAGAGTAGAACCAGAAATCAGTGACCCACAATTGGTGTGTCAGAAACAAGGTCTAGTTGGTGAACAAAATAATAAGGGAATGGGCTGTTTCACTCACCCTTCTCTTTGTGGCTCCTTGAAGAGACTTTGAGTGAAAAATTGGCTACTACAGCAAGCTTCATCATAATGGCTGTCATCCCCACCATCTCATGGGACCACAGGCCGTTATCATCCTGATCCTCAGAGATGTCCTGACTAGACCAGGCCAGAGAGAGGGACCCAAATGATGTAACCACGTCTATTGGATCCTGCTGAATCACAAACACCACCAGGGATGAAATGGGATCAGACTTTAACAACAACAGCTCCAGCCCATCTCAACTAACTTCTTCTCTTTTCCCCACAAGGACAGTTATTACTATTTTGATACCATTTAAGAGACGGTCAAACAAGCAAACAAGGGAGTTTTTACTTCTAAAAACTCTTCAGCTAATGCAAAAGGGAATAAGGGATGTTGTTAAAATAAAAGAGAAGATGTTAGTTACATTTTAAACGCTCTAACCTTTTTTCTTCTTTTCTGTATCTTTAATAAAAGGTTTAAAAGATTTTTAATGGTATGTTTGCCATGGTATTAAGCAGGCTGAGGTTTCTGTATACCAAACCCTGAACCTTGTAGAACACTGTTCAATGTAGATAAGTATTGGGTTAGGTTGAAGCCTTTGGCCTACATATTCTATCTCAATAAAACAGAACTGTTATGTTATTTTGCTTCTAAACTCTTGACTTCTGACATTTCATAGAAAATTGTACTTGGGAAATGGTTTGGGGTTTTGTTTGTTTTTATATGCTGCTTTGAGAAATAATTTGCTGCAGTACTGTGTGTTTGTGTGGTATTATAATGTCCTAAACCTCTTAAGATTGAGTTACACACAGAAGTTCTTGTAGTTGCATGTGTGTGGTTATTTTTTGTTTTTTTGTTTTTTTTTAAAAGAAAATATGAACATTTGTCTATCTGTAACAACCACAGATCCTGGTCATTGGCAAGCAGGACTGAACCAAGGACCTGTGGAGTTTAGTGCATGAGCCTCTACTGCATAAGCTAAAAGCCACATGGCCCTTAGCTAAGGCTGTAGCAGACTCATTAATCTCGAAGTGGTCTCAGTGCCACTAGACGGGACAGAACACTGCACCCATCTACCTGCCAGTTTCAGTAAAATTTAAAATATATTTCACTGTGTGTGTCTTTTCTCTCCAGTACATGGTGAACTGAAAGTGTGTTCTTGATTGTATCATTAAACCAAAGGTTTTTACCCCATGTCATTGCATGGTGTACAAAATTTTGCTGGGATGGCTGCAGAAATCTTTTAAAATCTCACCCAAAGTTCAAAAATATCACAAGTCTTAGTGATGTACATCAAGGATGCGGAAAGTTGTGTATGTTCTCCACGTTGGAATATGTTTGTTACTTTTCCAACACAGCTGATGTCCTCCAGAGAGTCTTACTTAATTCCTTTTATTGCAGATGTTGAACATTTAAAAATGAACAAACAGGAAAAAAAAACCCACCAGATGGAACATACTAGTGTAATCCATCTTTCGGCACTAGCTTAGTACCAGTATGATGTGTGAACAGGAGAGGGTAGCTCACAATCTTTGGACAAGTTCCAAAGTTTCTGTTACCTGGTCTTATTTCATGGTACTGCTGGCATATGCCTGAGTCCTCCTCCTGGTGTGCTAAAGAATAAAGCTACTTGGTGGTGCCTCCAATGAGACAAAGGCTAGGGCCCACACAGAACTCACAAATAAGTCAAACTTACACAGCCAAATAAATTAAAAGCAATAACTATGAACTTTATGTGAGAATTAGAGTAAAGAGAAATATACAATCAATACAAATATTAAATGATTGACATGATTAGAGAGAATAATACTTTTTAATTATTAAAAGCTATGCTGGCAAGCACACTAGGTCACATGACCACACACTCCTCTGCTGTTCCTATCCAAAAGTGACTCCCCTCTCAATTCCATCTGTTCACCAGGTCTCAGATATCCAGGTGGTGCACATGGAGACTTGTTGCAAGTCTGTAAGGAGATCCTGTTAGAAACACACTTTATTGTAGCAGGAACTGGCAGTGCGGGTCTTGATGATCCAGGTAGATGAAAGTCCTTTCACAGATGCATATCCAGATGGCTTAGTAACTGGCTTCAGTGAATGCAATGAGGTGCTCTAACTATAAGACAGGGTAGTCACTCAGGTTCATTTTCTGGCAGTGTGGTCAGGAGTTTGGTGCAGGCAAGCAAGTCCTCCCTGGGTACAGTTGCCACCTTTCTAATGGTTGATAACCAGACTGCCAAGGCCCCACACCTGCTCCTTCTCTTCCCCCTAATGCCTTGCATCTGCTCCACCTCTTCCCTTGAGGCCCTTCCTCCGCTCTTCTTCTTTTGATGCCCCGCCCCTTCTGTCTCCTCCCCTAGGCCCTACCCTCTTCTCCGCCTCTTCCCCCAGATTAAAAAAATGGACCTCAGGCTTATCAAATGGCACCCGGACACACGAGCCTCAAACCAGACTGTCCAGATGAAACCTGGATGGATGGCAACCCCATCTCTGGGGATTGCTGGAGAGAGCTAACCATCACCTCCCTTCTGGAATGGTGCCGACAGTCTTTAATGCTCAGAATCCACAGGTTCAGCTGCAAGCAGTTTGGGTCTCTGGATCCAAAATCTCAGATCTAGTGAGGGCTGTTGCAGGTCAAGCAGGCTGCAGGCAGTGGCAGGAAAGCCAGGCTGTCTCCTCCCGTAGCTGACAGACTGGTGGCAGGAAGAACGGATTGTCTCTTTCCGATACTTTTCTGCAGGTTGAGGATACAGACAGGCCAGTTGCTGTGCTGGCAGGCTTCAGGGAGACCTTCTTCCCCTCCTCTCCCCAGCTGGTCTCTGCCATGTGGAGGGAAAGCTGGACTATTCATAGCCTTCCCTTCTGCTTTCCTGGGCATCTGGGGCTCTGCCCAGGGTCAGAGACTGCTAGCAGTGCTGCCTAACTGTTCTCTGTCCTCTAACTGGCTGTTGATGACTTCTGTTGTTTCCCCTCCTCCCATTGGTGAGGGAGGAGGGTTGCCAGGGTGACTGGGAGGATTGTATCTCTCTCCCGCTCCTGGGGGAAGTCAACAGTGTGCAATGACTGGGGTGTGGGAAATCACAGCAGAGGGTCAAAACCAAAGACAGTCCAAAGTACCAGGCTTAAGGTCAGAGACGGAGAGGGAGTCAGGTGCCAGGCCAGGGGTCACTGCTGGAGACAGCATCAGTGGTAAGGCTGACGGCAGGAACCTGAATAGGGCAGAACAGCAGGAACTGGGAGTAGACTGTGTCTGGGATGGGAGGACAGGAATCAGGAGCAGGCAGGAATGCAGGGATCAGGTGTCAGGTAAACAAGAATGGTCCATAGTCTCATCCACCCAAGGATTCCTCTAGTTGCTCAGACACCTTCCTGTTGTTACTTCCTCATTGATATGGTACTCCTTAGCCAATCAGGGGAGCTAGATGTTTCCCCCAACTGGGAGCTTTGGGGGCAGGGTGAGCTAGCCCTTCCCTGGACCCTCCATAGTTACTCACACAAGCTGCTAGGTGGAAGTCATGGCCTGAGTGCTGCCTGAGGATCCCTGGCCCTGGGTTTGAGGCCTGTGATCATCAAATCATAGAAGATTAGGGTTGGAAGGGACTTCAGGAGGTCATCTAGTCCAACCCCCTACTTAAAGCAGGACCAATCCCAACTAAATCATCCCAGCCAGGGCTTTGTCAAGCCAAGTCTTAAAAACCTCTAAGGATGGAGATTCCACCATCTCCCTAGGTAACCCATTCTAGGGCTTCACCACTCTCCTAGTGAAATAATTTTTCCTAATATCCAACCTAGACCTCCCCCACTTCAACTTGAGACCATTGCTCCTTGTTCTGTCATCTGCCACCACTGAGAACAGCCTAGTTCCATCCTCTTTGGAACCCCCCTGCAGGTAGTTGAAGGCTGCTATCAAATCCCCCCTCATTCTTCTTTCCCTCACCACAGCACAGAACTCTGTCATGGACCCCTGGGGGCCCAAAGGGTGTGTCCCTTTGCTAAGGCAGCAGGGCTACATTAGGAATTCCACTCTCCTGTACTATCCCCCCTACCCAGTTCTTAAACACATTTCAACAGACCTGTTAAGAGAATCTGAAATAACTGTGAATTGCAGTAGGTGCTGCGGACAAAACACAGTCAAAACAGTAACATAATGGTTGCATTTGTCCCCCACAGAAATTCCCCCCACACCTTAGAAAAGTTCAAAGATACCTGTTAACAGGGGTTCAATACAGGTTTGAAGTGTGTTATTCAGTAAGTAATTCAAATCTCAATAGGTCACAAGAGACTGCAGTGCTCCCTAGCAACAACCACTTAGCAAACCACAAAGCCATTGTGTAAATTCAGTTAAGTGGGGTTCCCCATAGAGTTGGAAATCAGATTAAGGACATACAAAATGAGATGCAAGGCAATGAAACAATAGCTGTACTGTCGCCATCAGCAGATGTGCACCACAAGATGGATTGACAGTGCATCAATGTTGCTGAGAAGAATTACATACACTGTCAGTAGTGAGAAGCACAAACACATCACATACCTGCTTCCGCCCTTCATATCAGAAACCCCATCCCAAGCTGTAAACTCATTCTAGGTACCCTGTACAAAGAAACAGGTTAAGAATTTCAGCAAGTGAAAATCACCTGATAAAACCCATCAGAAGAACTTTTCCCCCCATATGTATGTTGGCATGTGCCCTCATATACAATTAAATCAGCTTCACAGAAAGGCTGGCCCTCAGAAGAACAGGGTGGATGTCATCCTCTGTCTTCCTGCACTACCAGAATGTGTGCATATATGGCATCCCTAATTTCCCTTACCCATCAGGACCCAGGATCAGAGTGCATTTGTGTAGGATCTGGCTACCTGTACAGAGTTTGTGAATGGGAAGTGTCCTGAGCCTGCTTGGCACAGAAATACTTGCCTTTATCCACACAGAAATACTCATCTTTACCCTCACAAATATTATGCAGTGCACAGCAGAGCACGATTTTATGAACAGAATTGGACACACTGGCATCCAAATGCGCCATAAACCTTTCCTTTCCTCCCCATGTTAGTATTTATTAACCTACCTCTGTGGTCCACCAATGCTTGCAGAATGATGAAATATATCCTTTGTGGTTCACATACTCACACTCCTTGTGATGGACAAATTCTGGGCACATGAGTACCATTGATGACAACTACATAGTTGGGAAACACCATCCTCTGAAAACCAGGTACTATTTCATGTTCTTTTTTTATGCTAGCCATCTGGGTAAAGCACAGTATTAATTGCCTCAGAAACCTCTATAACCACAACCCTAACAAAAGACCCACAAATATTTAATACATTTCAATTGGTATTCTATTGTTTAACAGTATGATTAAAGCTGTGATTAATCGTGATTAATTTTGTTGAGTTAATCACATGAGTTAACTGCGATTAATTGACAGTCCTAATTCTAAATCATGCAAGTAAATAATACTTATCCACAGATGAAAAAAATACAGGGAGTTCTTGAACAGCTGCATAAGACATGGTGTTAAAACAACTTGTTATGCCCATAAAGGTCTTAGCATCCACAAGACACAAAATCTATCATTTGATACTTTCATGAAAATTGAGTCCGTCAGTCGTTCATTAGCATTTGTAGAAAGTATTTACTGTAAATAATGCACACTCTCCACTAGTGAACATATCCTTTAAAGCAGCCTTGCAGAATCATCATTAAAGATAAAGAATAGGGCTGCTCTTATTCTTAATATTCTAAAGAGCTGTAAATGCTTGCAGTTCTCTAGGACCACATTATCAATTGTTGTTGGTACATTATATTTTCAAAAGAAAAACCATCAGAATTCAATCCTCCAGTGGAGCCTATGGTAAAGCCAGCATTTTAGAAGTAGTACAAAAATTATATTATTCATTCAAATTTTCAACCTTATTTTATGGTGTTCTTTTCAATGGGGGATGTCGACAGATTAATGTGTTATTATGAGATCATGTTCCATTTCATAGCTGCTGTATGGGAAAAGAAAAAAAAAGAAAAGGGCTCTATCCTATTTTCATTCTAAATAGGGCTGTGTGGCAAAAAGAAAAAGCCAGCACATACAAACTTGAGAGCAGATGCCTTTTGTCAACACAGTCAGCAAAGCCTCATTTTATTGCAGAAGTAGGTGTTATAATTATAGGCCTGATGATCGGCAACCTTTGGCATGCGGCCCATCAGGGAAAGCCACTGCGGGAAGTAGTGGCCAGCACATCCCTCGGACCCATGCCACTCCCCGCAGCCCCCGTTGGCCTGGAGCAGTGAACCACGGCCAGTGGGAGCTGTGATTGGCCGAACCCGCAGACACTGCAGGTAAACAAACCAGCCTGGCCCGCCAGCGGCTTTCCCTGACAGGCCGCGTGCCAAAGGTTGCCGATTCCTAGTCTAGATCCTTAAAGTCAATGGGACTAATCACAGGAGTAAAGTTACATACATGCTGTAAGGAGGTCTTGGGCCTTTGTTTCTTAAATATGACGACAGCAAGAGAAGACATTAGCAAACCTGGGGGAGGTTTACACAGTATGTTGATATGGTTACCTTGCTTCATATGATACCTACTTTAGGCCAAATCCTGTGCCCATCTCTGAAACCTCAGAGAGCCCTGGGCCAGCAGAAAGGGTGCAGTTCTACTACAGAAAGTGTGAAGAGGCAGGATTAATATCCTAAGTAGAGTGTATGCACACTTGTGCAGTGCAGCATTCTAGTTCTAGGCATTTCTTGCTGTGCCCAGTATGTGAGGGGACTGAGGGCACTAGGAACCCCTTGCATACTGGATTGTGTGTGTGGCGGGTGGGGGGGTTGATTACACAGCTCTAACAGCTATTATCCACTGCATGGAGTTCTGAGGGTACTATTGCTTCAAGACCTTGGGGAATGACAAGCATACTTTCCTAATTCAGGCCATCCAGAGACCTCCTGTATGCAGTTCTAGACACTCAGTCTACATGTGGTATTAGAACTTGGTTCCTTGTTATTTATGAGGCTCATATGCAAGGCCCATAAGTTATTTTTAGGGTCTGTTCATTAACCTGCTTGAAATTTCACAGCTATATCTTAGTTCCTACATGAAGAAGCCTGGCGCCAAGTACTAGGGTCAGTTTCAAGTACTGGAGATAGCTAGGAGTAGGTGAAACAAAAGACTATTTTAAGGAGGAATTTAAACTAAAGATAGGTTCTTTGTCTCACAAGCAGAGACTAGAGACAGCTCAAAGCACATGAAAGAGCAAAGTGAGCAGGAGAAGGATACAGTGTAATGTGGATGAAAAAATTATTCTTTCAGGCTCAGATGGTTTCTATTATTTATTCTGTTTTGCAGTGAAAACTCTATTATGTGTAGCTTTGGTACTCAGTACACAAAATAAAGCCCATTATTTGATCCATGAAACATGGATTTTATTGTCAACCATATATTAAACTACATTCTATCATTTAAGTTGTTTTTGACATCCTGCACTAGATGAAGAGAGAGGGGTGGAGACTTGAGTGCTGATGGCAGAAAAAGGCTGATTCAGACTGGATGAACAAATTCTTCCAAGCCTATTCTGAAGCTGTATTACAAGCCAAGAGAACCTTCCTATCAACCTTCATTCAGGCGGCCAAATCCCTCATCCAGGAGGCATCTAGGATGGTAAATCGCTTAAACTATCCTAAGTACCTACAACCTCTATTGGAACTGAGCACCAAATGCTGCAAAGAATATTATCCTACTTCACTGAAAAGTTCATGCATCTTTGAGACGAAAACTCAAGCAACATGGATTTGCTTCTCCTGTGCCCACCAACCAATAGCCCACCTGCATTCCCAGAGTTCAATACATTCACTCATCAAGAAGCTCTGGACACCCTAAAGGACTCCCCACTCAAGACTTGAGAATCCGACTCATGCCCTTCCTGGCTTACAAAAGAGAGTCATGAATCTTCTGACCAAAATAATCAGTGCCTCATTCATAGAAGGAATCTTCTCTTCCTCCTTCAAGCATGCAATAGTTCAACCAACACTGAAGAACTGCACCTTAGATATTTCAGTACTACCACTCAGTATCAAACTGGTCATTCCTGAGTAAGCTCAGAGAAGCTAGACAAAAGCTGACTAAAAGCTTATCTAACTGAAGCCAACATCCTAAACCAGGCAAATTTAGTCACTGATGAATGATCTCCTCCTGTCAGTGGATAGAAGACATGTATCCATACTCATCCTCCTGGACCTCACTGCAGTGTTCAACACTGTTAATCAGCACATACTTCTGTCTTGCCTGAGAGAGGTGGTAGGAGTCCAAGGTAATGCAGTAGAATGGTTTGAGTCCTCCTTGGAGGGACACACCCAAAGAGTGGTGATGGGAAACTGCATCTCCACCAGTAGACCACTCATTTTTGAGGTTCTACAAGGCTTAATTCTCTCTCTTGTCCTTTTCAACATCTACATGCAATTCCAAGGTGAATTGGTCAGACAATATGGACACAAGTGCCAGCAATATGCAGATGACACACAGCTCTCCTTATCCTTCACCATATCTGACCATACCACTCCCACCAAGATGGGCTAGTGCTTGAGTGAGATCAATTCATGGATGAAGAACAGTTGTCTGAAACTGAAACTGAACCTGAGCAAAACAGAGGTGATGATGGTGGGCAGATGAAAGTATTTTGAGGAGCTTGCAGCCATGGTATATCATAGAATATCAGGGTTGGAAGGGACCTCAACCCAGTCTACTTTGATTGAAGATACACATCCACAATTGGTCAGTAAAATCCATAGTCTAGGAATACTCTTGAATTCCTTGCTGACGCTGAGCTCTCACATTGCAATGGCTGAAAGCAACACTTTCTATTATCTCTGGTTGGGCAGGAGACTACATCCCATCCTAGTGGCTAAAGTTATTTCTCAGTTATTTCTGCCTTTGTCACCTCTTGTCTGGACTACAACAATGTGATATACCTGGGCATGAAACCTTCAGCACTTAGGAAACTGCAATTATTAAAAAATGCTGCAGCATGTCTCCTCAGCAACACAGGCTACTCTGAGCACCTGTTCTCCTCTCTACGTTGGCTTCCCATAGAATTTTTAATCAAGTTCAAGGTCTCAGTCTATATCTTCAATGTAGTCCATGGCTTGGGATTAGGATACCTAAAAGACCGTTTGAAACTCCAGGACAAAGACAGTGGTTGACAGCTTCATTCCTCTGGCACAGTACTCTCCTGTGGGATAGCCATGAGCAAGGGCTTACAAAGGTCGAACTGAAGTGAGACCAGAAGGGGCAAAGGGCCTTTTGTTCAGAGCTGAACCCCAGAAAGAGACTCAGCTATTGTGTGACTTGGCCAGAGGGCTGAGCCAAGAAGACCCAGTGAGGGAGTCAGGGGAAGAGACTGGCTGGGAATGGTCACTATGGCCAAGAAAGTGGCCACCAGAGGGGATGTAAGAGGCAAAGTGCCTTGCAATGTCATGTCCAGCCTGGAGGGTTGGCCCTAGAGGTAAGGATGGGTGCATTGATAAAGATAAGGGATATTGTTATTTTCATTGTAAATAATTATTGCACTTTAGAAATATAGAAATTGTCTGGCACAGGAAGAAGGAATGTTGAAACATATAAACCAAGGTATAACTTCGTAATATTAAAAGAAATTGTTAACAAGGGGGAATCCCAGTTGGCAGTAGGGGCTAATAATGAAATACAATCCTTGAAATAAATCAAACATAAGAAGTTGCCGATAAGAAAAGGATTGAAAACATTTGTTATGAACTAGGGCTGTCGATTAATTGCAGTTAACTAATGCAATTAACTCAAAGAAATTAATCATGATTTAAAAAATTAATCGCAATTAATTGCAGTTTTAATCGCACTGTTATAGAATACCAATTGAAATGTATTAAATATTTTTTATGTTTTTCTACATTTTCATACATATTGTATTCTGTGTTGTAATTAAAATCAAAGTGTTTATTTTTTATTACAAATATTTGCACTGTAAAAATGATTTAAAAATTATTTTTCAATTCACCTCATTCAAGGACTATAGTGCAATCCCTTTATCATGAAAATATAACTTACAAATGTAGATTTTTTAAATTACATAACTGCACTCAAAAACAAAACAATGTAAAACTTCAGAGCCTACGAGTCCACTCAGTCCTACTTCTTGTTCAGCCAAACACTAAGACAAACAAATTTGTTTACATTTACAGGAGATAATACTACCCTCTTCTTATTTACAATGTCACCAGAAAGCAAGAACAGGCATTTCTGTGGCACTTTTGTAGCTGGCATTGCCAAGCATTTATGTGCCAGATATGCTAAACATTCATATGCCCCTTCAAGCTTTGGCCACCATTCCCGAGGATGTGCTTTCATGCCGATGACGCTCATAAAAAAAATGCGTTAATTAAATTTGTGATTGAACTGCTTGGGAGCAAATTGTATGTTCCCTGCTCTGTTTTACCCGCATTCTGCCATATATTTCATGTTATAGCAGTCTCGGATGATGACCCAGCACATGTTGTTAATTTTAAGAACATTTTCACTGCAGATTTGACAAAACGCAAAGAAGTTACCAATGTGAGATTTCTAAAGTTAGCTACAGCACTCGATGCAATGTTTAAGAATCTGAAGTGCCTTCCAAAATCTAAGAGGAACAAGGTGTGGAGCATGCTTTCAGAAGTCTTAAAGGAGCAGCACGATGATGCGGAAACTACAGAACCTGAACCAACAAAAAGGAAAATCAACCTTCTGCTGGTGGCATCTGACTCAGATCATGAAAATGAACATGCGTTGGTCCACGCTGCTTTGGATTGTTATCAAGCAGAATCTGTCATCAGCATGTCCCCTGGAATGGTGGTTGAAGCATGAAGGGACATGTGAATCTTTAGCGCATCTGGCACATCAATATCTTGTGACGCCAGCTACAACAGTGCCATGAGAACACTTGTTCTCACTTTCAGGTGACGTAAACAAGAAGCGGGCACAGCATTATCTCCTGCAAATATAAACAGACTTACTGGTCTGAGTGACTGACTGAACAAGTAGGAGGACTGAGTGGACTTGCAGGCTCTAAAATTTTCATGGTTTTCATTTTGAATGCAGTTTTTTTTTTACATAATTGTACATTTGTAAGTTCAACTTTCATGATAAACAGATTGAACTACAGTACTTGTATTAGATGAATTGAAAAATACTATTTCTTCTGTTTTTTTACAGTGCAAATACTTGTAATGAAAAATAAATATAAAGTGAGCACTGTACACTTTGCATTCTGTTGTAATTGAAATCAATATATTTGAAAATGTAGAAAACATCCAAAATATTTAAATAAATGGTATTCTATTATTGTTTAGCAGTGTGATTAATCACTATTAATTTTTTTAATTGCTTGACAGCCCTATTATGTACCAATGCCATCTACTGGATACTGATGGAAGCAGCAAAGAAATGGAGAGCTAAATACTGAGCACTCACTTGGCATGTGTCCAATAGAAATCAGAGCGTGGCCCCATCCACCGAGCTCTAAAGTTGCAGTATATAAAACTGAAGTCACCATGTGCAACTAAAGATAATTGATTGAATCCAACAAGAAGCTGCAGAATCCTAAGTGTGACCAACTCCAGGACCAGCCATGAGGAAAGGACTCTCCCCCATCCTCGGGTAAGAAGATAAGAAGTGGTGAGATTTCATTTCAATTATTGTATTTCTCTTTCTATTATTTAAGGTAAGCAACTTTAGGTTATCTTGCTAAATCTACACTCTTTAGTGAAACCTCAGGTAACCATATTTTAGTTTTTAACTCCTTTATAAGTCCAAGCAAACTGACCTAAGAGAGATTGAAAAAATGATAACTTTAAGCAAGTGCGTTTGATATTCTAACATGGGCCCGTTTGGACCAATTCATTCAAACAGTATGTAAGTAACCACACTCTTAAAAGTACCTGAAAGCCAAGTCAGTCCTTGGAAGTGTGATAAATTTATTAGGCACTTAAGAATTGACACCTGATGATGAGAAGTAAATAAAATAACAAATCTTGGTAATTTGCATTGTTCCATGGTATAACTACTGAACTTCAACTCTGATCTGTATTAGTACATTCAAGGCTGCATTTATTTTATGTTTAGTACATACCTAGAACATTAGTTGTGTCTACACTTAAAATGTGAACTTTTGAATATATACTAATGTGGCTCTGGGTGAATTAAAATTGTTGGTTGGTTAAGAATAACCAACAGTGGCTACATCTATATAGGGTGCTATATTGGCTATAACACTTAATTGGCAAACCCTAGTTTGTTAGATTTCATCCCTAGAATCTGACACGTTGGCAAATTTATAAAAATCAACCCTCCATTTCATGCTTACTCTAGGTACTCATATAGCCCCCTTTCCTAAGTAAGGGGAAAAAAACAAAACAAACAAACAAACAAAAAAACCTCTCTTCCTTCCTTTCCTGCCAATAGGATAAATAAGTGCTTTAATGTAGGACGGGATGTGGGAGGCAAGACTGTATGGAGAGACAGCCATGATGGTGAATCTTTTACATTTAGTTGTGGTGAGGTCTGTGGTCATTCTTACCTCATCTGGCTGTGTGTTTCATAGTTTAGATCCTGCACTTGTGAAAGTTCTGTTTGAGCTCAAAGCACTCCCTCTATTAGTCAATAATTTCATTGTTCCAGAGGACCATAGTTGTTTTAGGAGATCATGGTCATGAAAGGTGAGGAGGACTCTCAGGTAGCTGCCGCCAATTCTGTGGCAAGTTTTGATGGGCTGCTGCATTTTGTAACTGCTGGAGTTTTTTTTAGCGTATGGCTTAAAATAAAAATAAATAAATAAATAAATTTGCTGCTAGTTGCAACAAATTGTAATAATGAAGCCTTGAGTTCACAAATGGGTGGATCACTGTGGCCAGATCTGTGTCCCAAAACAGTGGGGGTTTTTGTTTTTTTGCTGTGGCGCATGTTGTTGTTTTGTATGTGCTGCATGGGCATCTGGTAGTACTAAGGTCTTCAAAAGAATGCCAAGGCTGCAGGCCAACTGAAACGGAGGGCGGATATCTTTGCAAATGGTAAATAGTATCAGCAGTAGCCAGCTCTTCAAAGTGCTTTCCTCTTCTCACCAATATCACCTCAGTCTTGCCGGTATTCAGCTTTAGCCATCTGCTCTTCTTCCAAGTGCCATTTCAGTTAGGCATTGAAAAATTGGGTGATTATGGCTCTGTATTTATTTGACAAAGATATATAACTGAGCATCATCCATCAGTACTTGTTTTGTCATCTTCAGAGAGAGCTCAGATAACATGGGAGAAATTATTGAACTTCGTGTTGTTTTGCAGGTGAGAGAATTGAAGGCCAAATAACAGTTACCCATAACAACCCTGTAGTTGTGGCCTAAGAGGAGATATATGAGGGAGTTTACATTTGACTGGAGAAGAGCATTAGATGATGAGTGGTAGCAAATGCTGTGGGGGGGGACCAACAAGAGGAAGAAGAATGTACTTCATTTGTCTATGGACAGGACAAAATTCCACGAGAGCAACAAGTGTCATGTCTGTACTATGCTCTGGCTTGATGGAGGGGTTCAGTATGCTAGTAGCTAGCAGGAGGCATGAGACACTGGTTTACTAGCTCCTGTGTAAGCTTGCTTAGAAACAGAGCTGAGACAACGGAGGGTGTTTTGAGACCTCAGAGATTTTTTTTTTAGCACCAGTTGAATTATTGCATGTTTTACAGTGGGCTGTAGATTCAGTTCATAAAAAGAAGTGTTGATAAGTCTTAGTAGGGGTCCCAGGTCTACTCCTTTACCCACTGGGAATGGCAGGAATCAGAAGTGGTGGCTCTGATTGCCATCTCTTCCTCACAAACAGCAATTTTCAAAATGCAACTAGGCCCAATTCTTCAACAAACGCATCTGGAATGACATAAAAATGGAAAAGGAAAAAAAAAGGAGATGGAGAGGAATTAGTTCCACAACCTTCAACCCAACAAAACAACTGGGAAAGGATCATTGTGCCAAGACATGCTGAGAAATGTCAGAGACGGAGCATAGCAGGTAAGGGGAGAACATTTTTCAGAATGGGGAGTGCTTCTTACTAAAATAAAAAGGTTCCATATATTTCAAAGGAAATTTTGCAGAACTGAAACACATCAGAAATGCATGATCAGAAAAGCCACAACAAGGATTAATTAAAAGATTATTTTTTCCTTCGTGACGTTTAACATCTCAGTTGAGTCACTTCTAACAGCAGGTGAGGTACTGTATTATTTTATATAACCGTTGTGTCCTAGCAACAATCTGAAATCACTTTTATAATCCCCTGAAGGAGGGCAACATCCAGGGCTCTCCTAGTTTAATAACCAGCAACATAAATGTCAGCGTTTATTACTTTTTTATGGTATATTACAACTTCTTTGTTTCTTTTGTTAACTGTCGTGCAAGTTTCACCTTCTGAAAAGAAGCTGTTCCCTATTTTACATTTTTTATTTTGTGAAAATTACTCCTCTCCTATTAAAGTCCTTTATACTTTGTTATCTCAAGAAAATCATCATCATGCCCACATGTATCATTTTAATCAAAGCCTATTGTTGCTCAAACACCATAGTTTCCTAAGTAACTTTATTTGGGACATTTCCCAAAATCATTACTCGGTTTACCCTTGCTCCAAGGACAGCAAACTTTGGCACTTGTTTCATAGTCAATGCTCATCTCAATACCTTTAGTTGAAAACACTGGACTGAATGTTTTTGAGTACATGCTCTCTTGGGAGCTTTCAGTATCCTCTTATTTTGAATGGATTAGAAATACTGTGCCAACAACTTCGTTTGTGATGTTTCTGATTACAGTGCTAGCAGAGAGATGGATGAAAATTATAATAAGCTAAAAACAGGGAAAATCCCTTTGTGAAACACTCCAAAACATCTGTGTTAAAGAGTTGGGGAAAATTCTACTTTAGCCAATTTGTTTAGTCCATCCATAATTCTACCTGGGGACAGCTGGGTGTGTCCCTACCTGTGTGAACACTGGTGAAAGTGTAGGATGTAAGATTTTGCAGCTTGCTACAGCACTACAATGTGAGAGGGAACCCAGGTTGGTGAGTCAGGTGGCTCAATGGTACACCAGTTCCAGGTGGCACCTCAGGGGGAACCCGTCACAATCCCATCCACACCTGAAAGACAAAGAGGTTCTTTTTACTATATGCTTAAAATACAGTTCAAAACAACTCAAGGAGACCTTGTATGGACAATACTTCCATAAAAAAACATTTATGGGTGAGAACATGTAGAATTTTTGTTACTTGCAGTTTTTTCTACTTCTATCTTCAAGCTTTTCCAGTCCATGACAAATCTTATTGGGATCAGTCTCGGGGCACTGTTTCTACTTCCTTCAGTTTTATTTTCTGTACATGAGATCTTTATATCTTGCTTCAATCATTCAATTTGCTAGTTTTTCAAATCATGCTAAACACTATCTCAATACAGTTTTATGTCACATGATGGCATGCTACCAAGTGACAGAACCCTCACTGAATTCACATCTATAAAAATCAACTTGTAGGAAAAACAGCCTTTGAAAGGATAGTGATCAATATCACCTGCTAGATAAAAGATTAAAGCTTTAGTCTCCTAGCTCCCCCCCCCAAAGGGAGATGTAGAAGAAAACAGGTAAATTAAATGTAATGTGTTTTTGTCCATCCCCTGAACCACAACAAAACTGAACGTCTTCATAGGTGCCTGTCAGAACTGGTGATAGTATTGACACCACCACCTTCTCCACATCACCCAGGCATACAGGTAGGTGTCATCTTCAATTTCTCCCTCTCTCTCTCCCATCCACACTATCCAAATTTTGCTTACGACAAACTGTTCTTCCCCAAACACAGATGACATCCATCCAGTCTGTCCAAGCAGCTTCTAAAATTATCAATGAATGAGCAAGATATGACCATGTCACCCCATCTCCAAATACCTTTCACTGACCACCTTGTACACTGATTCAAATGCAAAGTTTTCCTCATTACCACAGAACTCTGTCCCAGTCAACGTCTTGACCTTCTATCTTATCACATCCTCTCATTGCCCACTCCATCCCAACAGCTCCAGCAGCCTCAGTGCAACATTAGCTTCTCGCACACCACTCTCCAGACCTTTTTCCATGCTGCTATGTATTCCCAGGACAGCCTCTATTCCCAGTTTGCAAAGTGACCATCCCTTATATTAAGAGAAAGGCAGTTCTCCGGTCATAAATGGCTGTCAGCAGCAAAGGGTGCATGACCTTTGGCATGAACGAGGAGGCAAAGAAAGCTGCCAGGTGAGAAGTTTGAATATAGCAGCAATAGTTGGAGGTTTCTAGGAGGAAATAATCAGAGAGCAGAAGGTAGGGTCAGAGTTTTCCAGAACCTTCATAGTGAAGCTACAAACGCTTAATTTGCAGTGTTTTTACAGATATTTTGAATATCCCTAGAGGTTCACATCCTGAATTTTGTTTTTTGTTGTTGTTTTGCTTGTTTTTTTAAGTTGTATGTTCTAACATTAGATACAATGAGACTTTCCCTTTTCCACTGGGAACATAAATAGAATACTGTAGGGAATATAGAAACTACGTGGAAGGATGCACAGTTAGTAAAAATAGTGGATATACATCTGTAAGCAGATTGCTTCTTGAGTAAGAGTCTAACCACCCTTTATTGGACCATACCAGCATGCCCTATATTCCTGTGAGGAGACAAGCTGCCAGCTACTTGGCACAGTTCCGTTGGATGTGCCTTTGTGGTCACAGAAGTGGAGGAGAGAGGTCCCCCCAGTATCTACAACCAGCACAGCATTGAATTAAAACTTTTTCTCTATGCTGCAGCTGATTAGAATCTAGAACGATATCCACCAATAGTGCTCTAACCTCATCCCATATATTTAATCTATCACATATTGTCTGTACACCAAGGTGAGATGTAAGGAAAATGTATGGACGGGATGCTTATGAGCCAGGTTGCTGGTGGTCAAAGAAAAAGGATTGTGACATCCTATAGACAGCTGACAAAGTGAGCCTCTAGCTGCAGAGTATTCTCAGAGAATGAGGTAGTAAGCACAGGACTGGGAGTTGTAAATTGTAAATTCTGTTCTTGACTGGCCCGCAGGCTTTGTGCTTGTACATAGCTGGCAATCATGCTATACCTATATCTTTGCAATTAATTCCAAGTTTTTCCTGTTCATTTATTTCTGACATTGGTGGCAACAAAATACAAAAGTATTAGTCAGTTTGAGAAGATTGGAAAACATTTAGAATGTCCCTCGTGTAACAAACACAGTGCAGGTCCAGAGCATAGGATGGGTTAACAGCCACAGCTCTTTTTTTTTATAGCAGCTTTCCTACAAGCAGGAGGTGGGGATGAGGGTGGGAGGAAATAAAATTGCAAGGATAAGACAGTTTTCATTGAGATAAATGACTAAGGTGGCTGTGGAAAATAAAAGTTGTTATTTGGCTTCAAGACTTCAAGTTAGTTTTGAAACTTGAAATTAATCTTGAAATTAGGGATAGCGCTATGGGGCCTGATTTAGCCCCACCCCCAAAATGGTGGATTTATTTATTTTTCCTGGCAGTCCTAGAAATAAGGCAAGAACTACTTTCAAACATCTCCTTGTTGCATAGCATAGGCTTCCATCCAGTTAGACTTTTTTATAAATTAAGCAGACTCTAGGGGGGAAAAAAGCATAAGTTAGAAAGGAACACCAAATTCTCCCATCTCTACTGGAAACAATTTATTCTATAAGCATAGGGAATTATTAATATTTATATTGCAGTTGTGCCATGGGCCCTATTGGGCTAAAAGCTCATAGTGGGTCTATCCATTTGCATGTATCCAGGATTATAAGTAAAATAATTCTATACATACCATTGATGTCAGCATTCAGGTTTGGACTCAATTTTGCCCAGCCAGGAATTTTGCCCAGCTAAGGAGTCAGTAAGAATTGCACAATAGGGCCCAAATTTCTTAAATGAAAATATCTCTTGCTTTTCCTGTTTTCAGAGTGCTTGCCAAAAGACAGCACCTGACTGTGCTCATAAAATTAAGAGTACCTTTGAAAAAAAAATCTATTTGCTTATTTGCTCCACCCATTCTTTCAAAGGGTGTTAAAATCATTGCTTTGTTTTCCACATACCACTTCTGCCATCTCCTGTATATTAGCTTTAACTCAAAAGTGATAGGTAGAAAGCTGTAGAACAACATCTGTTAACTTTGTCAGATAAAAAGATGGAAATTGTCAATTTTTTTCTGTTGGAAAGTGCTGTTTTGACAAAAATATTTTTTTTATTAAGTTATATCAATTGATGAAATCTCATTCAGAAAAAACTTTTAAATGTCAATCTCATTTTGATAGTTTTGGGACAAAACATTTCAATATTTTTTCAAACCAACTTTTCATTTTGAAATTTATTTTAAGAACAAAATGATTGTTAAAAATCAAAAAAATTTGATTGTGACACTGTTTACATATGCCCGGTTAAGTGGATTTACAGATTATATTATCTAGTTTTAACTAAACTAACCCTCACAAAATGGACAAGTGGCTTAAAAAGATTCCTGCAAGGAAACCGTGGATTGAAGATAATACTAATAATGTGAGCACAAGCGAACAACAAGAAAATGGCAGAGCTGACAGTTCTCCTACTCCTAGTACGAGCTCTTTGTCAGCCACATTACAAGG